CAGAATTGATTACACAAGCCAGGTGTGGTGGCACATGCCTATAATCCCAGCAGTCTCAGGGGGGCTGAGACAGGAGGATTGCCATGAGTTTGAGGCTTAAATGTCGCTACTGAGCTACATCTCCAGCCATTTATTTATTTATTTATTTGGGAGATTTTTTTGTGACAGAACTTTACTATATAGTTCAGGCTGGCCTCTACACCCAGTCCCAACTTTTTTTGAAACCAGGATCTTTGAAGTTGCCTAATTGTCCAGGCTGTGATGCTCCCGCCTCAGCCTTCCAGAAATTGGGATTAGAGGCATGTGCCACCATGCTCCATTTATCCCTCCCTTCCTTCAGACCAAATCCGGGGCTTCACATATGCTTGGCAAGGTTCCTACTAAGCACAACCCCAGCCCTCTTCCTGTAAAATCTAAGAACACTGGGTTTTGGAGTCAGGTCTGTGTTATTGTGTTGGTTACTTTTCTCTCCCTGCTAAGACAAAATACATGTAAAATTAAGTAAGGAAAATTTATTTAGTTCACAGTTTGTGGAGGTTTCACTCCATAATCAGCTGGCTCCAAGACAGTGTGGCATGGCACAGGGGCAACTCTTCCGGGTGGCAGAAGACAGCAAAGCAACAAGAGCAAAAGGACAGGGAAGCAAGCCGCTTCTCCTCCCTTGTATTGTACGCAGGCTGCCCACCCACACTGTCTCCCTCATTTCCTCTTGCACAGGCTCATAAAGACCCTGGCCCCCTGCTGAGTTACTTAGTTAACCTTATAAACTTCGCAAATTGACACAATGTATCAACCATAACTTTCTGCCCCTGGCCCCCCAAGACTCATGCACATCCCTTTAGGCAAAAGGCATTTAGTCCATTTCTAAGAGTTGCCAAAGTCCTAACAGTTTCAGCATTGCTGAAGAGTTCAAGTCTCAAGTCTCCTCTGAGATTTAAAGCAAACTCGTAGCTTTGAGCCCCTGTACAAATGAAAAGCTAAACACTTCCAACATTCAATGGCACAAAATAAACATTTTCATCCCAAAAATTACAAACAGGGGAATACAAGGGAATGGGACCAAAGCAAATCCAAAATCCAGCAGGGCAAATGCTAATTCCTGTAGTTGTATGTCCGGCATCTGAAGCAATCTATGGCACATTGCGAGCTCTAAAGGGCTTCAATGGCTCCACCTGTAGGGCACTTTCGGTGGTTGCAGCTCCCATGGCTTCTCCCTTAACCCGCCTTGCTCCCTCCTTTCAGCTTTCCTTAGACCATCTATGTTCCTGGTTTTTCCAAATTTTTGGAGACTCCTTTGTACCTTTGGCTTCACTCTCACAGCTTCACATATTGCCCTCTTAGAGGCACACTGCCTGGTCCCCCCAGGCCTTCTGAAATTGGGGTGGAAGCCTTATTAACCCCACAACTGTTGAATTCTACATGCATCTAAAACTAGTGCCATGTGGATGATGCCAAGGTCTGCTGCCAGTTGGAGCAGTAGCCAGGCTTTCCTCTCTCTTGGCCATAGGGACCAAGTGCCTGGATCCCTGGGCACTCTGAATCCAATTCTGAGGAACAAATTTTTTATTGCACCTCCATTCTGGAATCAGGTGCAGCCACTGCCATTCTGGAACATGGCGCACTGTGGCTTTCTCCTCAAAGCAAAGTCTTTCACTTTTGCAGTTTTGAGGCTGCAAAGTGTGGAGATTTGCAGCTTCATGTGATGTCTTCAGGCCATCTTTTCTATTCTCCTGTTCCTTCTCAGCAATGGAGATCTCCTCAGTTCTATCTTTGCAGTCCACAGCTTTACTGGAGCTTCCTTTCTGTCCAAACTCACAACACTTTAAATCATCCTGCTAGGCTCTCTGCTTTTTTTTTTTTTTTTTTTTTTGGTTTTTCTCCGGTACCAGGAACCGAACTCACGACCTTGCGCTTGCCAGGCAGGCACTTTGCCGCTGAGCTAAATCCCCAGCCCCTAGGCTCTCTGCTTTTGATTCTCAACATAAATCTGGCTAAAAGCCCCCAACAATATCTGTGTCACTGCCCCAACATTCGACTGCCTTGAAGTTTCTTCAGCCAGATTAATTAGTCCACTGCCCTTAATCTCAGTCTCAGGCACTGTCCCTGGACATGAGCAAAATGCAGACAAACTTTCTGCCAAGCCATAGCACACATCACCTGGAGTCCAGCAGCTGATGCAATTCTTCCCAGCAGAAACTTCCTGAGCCTCGTCTTTACTGGTTTTCTGGTCTTAGCTCTGACCAGAAGCTCCCATACAGAACAGCTTAAGGCTTTCCAGTGCTACTCTTTCAGGTGACATCTCTGAACTTTTCCAAACCCTTCCCACAAGCTATTCCCAAAGGCTCTTAAGCCACATGGTCAGGTATAGTCACAGCAATGACCCCATACTTGGTACCAAATTCTGTCTTGGTTACTTTTCTCTTCTTGCTGAGAGAAAATACCTGAAGCCCAAAATGAAGGAAGGAAAGGTTTATTTAGCTCACAGTTTGTGGAGGTTTCAGTCCATAATCTGCTGGCTCAAGGCAGGGTGGCACAGGGGCAACACTTCAAGGTGGCAGAAGACAGCAAAGCAACAAGAGCGAAAGGGTAAAGCAAGCCTCTTTTCCTCCCTAATACTGTAAGTAGGCTACCCACCCACACCATCTCACAGCTTCCTCTTGCACAGGATGTGGATGTTTACAAAGTAAAGACCCTGGTCCCCTGCTGAGTCACTTTATTAACCTTTTTTTTTGTGGCGGGGGGGCTGTACCGGGAATCAAACTCAGGACCTTGTGCTTGCGAAGCAGGCACTCATGCTGCTGAGCTATATCCCTGGCCCTGTTAACCTTTTAAACTTTTTAAGTTGACATAGTATATCAGTCATAGCAGGTGTAAGCTGGGCGTGGTGGCCCATGCCTGTAATCCCAGCACTTGGGAGGCTGAGGCAGGAACATCATTGTGAGTTCAAGGCCAGCCTGGGCTACAAAGTGAGCTCAAGGCCAGCCTGAACTGCATATTGAGACCCTGTCTCAAAAAAACCAA